CTCCATTCGTTTAAAAATATAAAATATTTTTTGAGAAGTTGGATGTTAAAAAATAAATATTTCTAGTCTTATGAGATATAATTATTGTCTTTTTTAAAAGTACTCTTATTAATAAATAACTTTATATTTATTATATAATGTTTAATAGAGATAAATATAAAAAAATAAAGTTAATTTAAAAGTAAATAATTATTTTATTAAAAATAAAATTTAATTAAAAATATTTTATAATTTTAAATAGAGTAACAATTTTATCTTAAGTTTTTTTAGGGGCCAAAATTTTATCTCAAAAGTTGCAAAACTCGTTTCAAGCATATTATCATTACCTAAATAGTATGTGATCTATTAACACAGAGATTATAAATTTGAGACAATAACTTTGTAAGCCAATGGCACTTTTTCTTTCCACTGGATCATAGGTTTGATTGGAATGGAATGATGCAAAAAGCCGTGGAAGCCGCTGAAGAAGAGGAATGCAAAGTAGAGGAACGCAGTGGCTGCTTGCCGGTTATGTACTGTGAAGGCTCAGTGGGTTTGCTTTTCTTTACTTTGTTGACTTCACCACCAAATAAATCATCTACACCTGTCTCCCTTTCTTTCACCTTTTTTTTTTTAAAAAAAAGTTGTTTCTTATAAATAATTTAATAATTTGTGGGGGCCACGTACCGTTATCCCTCCCGTTTCTAGGTTCAATTACGCGCGTGCCCTTCCATCAGTTTTAATTTCGCTATAAAATGTTTATAGATATTAATGCATTACATTAGATGTAAAAAATTTCCTCCACCTTTACCATTTACCAACTTGTCCATCCTAATAATAAGCAATTTGATTTCTCTTTAACAAAGCATTGAAATTCAAAGATTGTAAGCTGAAAAGATACGCACTGGCTATAACCCTCATTCTCCTATGAAAAAAAAAAAAAGGTATTGAGATTAGTTGAGATGAGTTTACTCTTTGCTTTCATACAGCGATAATCCATGTTGTCAAAGAAATCTACCCATCATACTAAAAAAAAAAGAAATGTTTTTTTAAATAAAAAGTTATGACAAAACTACAAAGACATATAATTAGTGGTTACACAGTCATGCTAATGAAAAGGTCAATTAAGTTGCTTTTGTTGATTTTTTTCATAGAATTTACAAAAAAGTTACTGAATAAAATTTATAAACAAATTTGATGAAAGATGGTACAATATGAATATATTATAAAAGCAAAAAATTATTTTGCTTTTTATATATGACCACTCCAATTAGGACCCAGTTGAGATTGAGAATAGTCCCTTTCAACTCGTAGCAAAAGGAGCTTTGTGTGATATGGCTGTCTCAACTCTTTCACAGAAGCAATATAGTTCAAACCAATTTTGAGATTTCTCAAAAGTGATTTATAATTTATATACACATACCTTTCCAATTTAGGTCAGTCTTGTAAATTCAGTCGGCCAGAAAAAAGGTCTTATAAAAATTCAACAACTTTGCCTTTTAAGGGACGAGAAGGCCAACACATATGATCAATACAATTTTTTAATAGGTAGTTCGTTTGTCAGTCTAATCAAATAAATTAGGCAAGTCTGTGCCTGAGGCATTGAAGTCACTTATTTAAGGATGATATTTGAATATAATTTTTCCAGTTTTGTTGGTGAAATTTTTTATGAAATATAACACCGTGAATATTATAACGACTTTCGTAATTTTCATGCATATTGTTTGTAATTAAATAATCTGACAAAAAAAATAATTTCTAAACACTTTGAAATTTGAATCATAGTACTTAATTTTATACTGAACTTCCACGTTAGTTAAGTTAAAGTCAATATTTACTTATAATCTAATAATGCATATAAAGTTAACAATTTATTATATATAATATAAAAAGTCTATCAACTTATATTATTTATGTATATATGTGGCTTATTTATCAAATTTTAGATAATGAACAGAGCTTATGCTAATTTTTAATATTTAGATTTAAAATTATTCAATATTAGATATAGCAACAGGCCTTATCTCATTTATTATTAGATTCAATATTAAATAATTACAAATAAAAAAGGCGAATGGGTGGTATAGATAGCACTACACGTAGTAACATGCTATACCAAATATTAGGCATGAAGTTCAAATTCGTTTGTTTTAGGCGAGAGAGGTTCAAAATTTTTTGAATTGAAACTTGTGTGTGTGTGTGGCCACAACGAAGATTTGAGACTTTGAGTGGACAAAAAGCTATTTCCAATTCGTAATGTCCTTTTCATCAAAGCCAAGCGCATGGTTATCCTTTGTGCATCTCATTTTAAAGTTATCCTCCGAAAACATCAGCGTAGTAACATGTATTCATGCCTTTTTATTTTTTATAACTACTCTTTTTTCTATATATATAAAAAAATATTGTGTCACACAGTCTAACAAAATTGATTAATTATATTAATTATGTTTGAAAATAAAAATATTAGACTAAAATATCTTATATTAATCGATATAAGCACACATTAATTATTTTTCGTTAATGTAAACTATGAGGGGTGATTTAAGAAATGTGTAATAAATGCTTATTAAAATATATAATTTTATTTATATAAAAAACAAGTAAAAAATAGTAATTTTTCTTACAAATAAAAATAAAGGGAGTATTTAATTGGGTTAGATTAGAGCAATGTAAAGCTCAATGAAGAGCAGTTCTTCCAAAAATGCTTTTTTCATAGGAGAAATTGCTAGTAAATTCCTTTTTCGTGTTCAAATTATGCTAAAGGATCGAGACCCATGACGCGAGTATATAAGGCTTGGGATTTTATAGCTATCTGCTTGCATCCTAATTTTTTGGTCTTCCAACACATTCTTAATCTTGAGGAGGGGTTTGCTAAAAAATTTGCCCCTTTGATATGCCTTTTTACTTTTTCTATGCATACTCTGTGTTGGAGTTTTTTGAATCCCACCTAATATAGATCAAGGTGGGTTGGATTGCAAGTGAGCTTTTTTAACAAGTATTTAACATAGAAAAATATTTAGAACTTGAAATTAAGACCTCTAATTAGGATATTACAGTCCTAACAGCCCCAGCTATGCGATTGTTGGTTATCTTTATACTTTTTTAGATAATGAAAGCATTCCTTTAATTTTCAGAGCAATTATTGAGGGACCACTACACCCCATTCTCTATTGTTCACCCCTTAATTTTTATGCATACTTGATATTAGAATTTGTTTGAATCCCAACCAATATAAATTGAGTTGGGTTGGATTACAAGGACAAAAGTTCTTTTGACAAGTATTTAATATGGGCACATTTTCAAAACTTGAAGTTTAGACCTCTAATTAAGATATTACAGTCTTAACTAACAACTATATGATTGTTGATTACCTTCATACCCTTTTAGATAATGAAAGCACGCCCTTAATTTTCAGTGCAATTATTGGGGGACCACTGCACCCCATTCTCTATTGTTCACCACTAACCCTTTTTTGTCACTGTACATATAAAGTAATGATAAAGTAATGCCACGTTTGTTGTTATAATTTGTGTTTGTTTGAGTACTTCTTGTTTATATCCCAAAAGTATAATATATCGACGTAATAATGGCATAATCCTAAGGACAAACCATTAATGCGGTCACAAACTACAAATGGAATTGAATAAATTGAACGTGTAGTCATGAGTGGTCAATTAAGCTAACAGTTTTCATCGTCATCCATACACATTTCAGTTTGGAGGTTCCTTTGAAGAGTAATCTGCAACCAAAACTTGTTTCCTTATTCACTGTTTGATTGTGTAAAAGTCCGTTCTGGATTTTGACAAGGAATTCTTGACGTCAAAGTGAAAACTGAAATCATTGCGGGTTGGAGAGGAAAGCGCAAGTCACGATGATATGATATTTTAATATGCGGGTCAATTAAGTATTTTTTTTTTCTCATTTACTCAACAACACACACAACACACGCACGCACGCACGCACACATATACAATTTTAGCATACACAAAATAAATTTTATAACCAATACCATTGTCCATAAGAAATTAACAACAAACCCCAGCTCAGACTTTATTTAATACGCGAAGAACATTTATAGTTCATAATAGCATTTTATTATTGGCGAAGGATTTATTTTTAACTAAAGTTATTATGGCCAAAATGCATTAGATTAAATTTTAATGGAAAAATGAAACAATGCTATTTATTACTCCATCTTTTTTAAATTATAAGACATTTTTGGAAGAGATTAAACGTATCAAAATATAAGATATTTTGAGAAGATTAAGATCTCATTAAATAAATTTATTCTAATATTATCCTTTCCTTTTTAATAATTAATTTTTGTTCATTCTTTTTTTCATATATTAAATGATCAGTATTTTTAAAAGTTTATATTTTTATTTTTAAAAGATAAGGCCGTTGATGATATTCAATAAGATTTATTAATATGTAAAATTTTATTTAAATATCTCTTATAATTTGAAATGAATGGAGCATATAACATGGCATATGTACATACACATACACATAGATTTTTTTTTTAATTTTTCACAATACATATTTAATTAACTGAACCAAAATTACTTTCATTTAAAATAAAAATAACCTGCGTTAAATAGGTTTTAAATTTTAATAATTTTGAATAATTAAATTATTTAATTTAAAATAAAAACATTCTTGATAAAATTAAATTAATTATAGATTAAAAATTTGCTTGGAATAAATTAAAATAATTAAATATCCGAAATAAAGTTACATTAACTTAACCAAAAAACAAGCTAATCTTCTGCTCAAATAATGAATGAAATGACAACGAAACTCTAATACTGGAATCTTAGAAGGATAATGAAGTCGTAGTTACATCAAACATCTAGTCCTTATGAATGCTTAATCCTACTACTTTCCAAGTACAACCATCCAACAGTAGCGTTTTCTCTCGCACGTTGTTTCCCTCATACGCTTACGCTTATCTAATATTTTATTCGTTGGATTTGAAAATTTCCGCATTACGCTCCAATTTTTTTTTTTTAATTATTCGTAGCTTGGAATTATGATTTGGATCCGATCCAAACCGTTCCCTCAAGAAACGAATGTCGAACTGTGTGGCCTGCCACTTCACCTGAAAAAATTTGAATTTCTGGGCACAAATGCAAGTGCGACGACATCACCAACGACAACAAGGGATTTTCCTTCCGAGTGAGTTCGTGTTTTTTTGAACAAGGAAGAGCAGGTTTTTGATTCAACGGGACAAAACCCATTTAAAGAAAAGATAAGCAAGATTATTGAACAAGTTGCCTAAATTGTTCCTGTTTTGTTACACCTCCGCTTCCTCTTTTTTCTCTCTCGAGTCTGAGGAGGTTGGTCTTTCCGAAACAACCTCAGCCTACCTTCCTTACTCTTCAGCCTCGTAACTTACGCTTTCAGTAATGGAAACCCGTGCACCTTCTCGATTGGATGATTAGGCTTTCCGAGTGAATTTTTCGAAACTGCGAGAAAAACGAACTGGCTACTTGTCTGCTATTCTTGATAGTTTTCTTCTACTGCGTTCGGTTTCCAAGTTAATTCAGCGAATTAGCATTACAGGGGTCTTATATTTTGCTGCTATTTGGCATCTAGCTAGTGGAATTGGAAGAGAAGTAGTGATTGGTTTGCATATTAGAGTTCGAGAGGAAATCTGGAAGGTTTGTTCGAATTTGGGGGGTTTTGGTGGCTCTAACAATGATGTTATCAGCATCGCCATCCTCGCTAGCGAGGAGTTCGCTAGAGGTAATGCTTGAATCGCTCCAGCAGAGAGAAGAAGAAGAGAATAAGCCAAAGGACTTGCCACCGGCATTGCCAGCTCGCCCGACCTCCAAAGCTCGGCTTCCCTCAGCGAGAAGGTCATTGCCGAATAACTTCAACTTTAAGGTTAACGGAGATCCTGGTGAGACAGAATACCTTCCGAACGGATTTCATGATGCGAACGAAGAAACCAAGAGGAAAGATACGGTTGATTTGGGACACAAGAGAAACGGAAGCCTTGGGAGCAAGAAGTTGAAGAGGGATGTGGAATGTCCGTACGCCCTTGCATCGGAAGATAACGTTACTTATTTCAACAAGAAGGTAACTCGAGACTTGAAAAAGGCGTCTTGGTATTATGATCTTGCAATAACTCGGTTTATGAAAGGTTTTAGAAATGGTTGTTACTAGTTAGTTGATAACTCTCGCATTTAATTGTTTGAAACAATTAGTTCTGGCAGCTTTGCAAAAAAGCTTGCGGTGCTTAAAAGAAAGCAATCAGTTGAAAGAAAATTTCGTAGTTACTATGGTTGATGGAAAACATAGTTGAAATATAATTTCTTAGTTGCATGTGGTAATGGACCTGTAGATATATATAAACACAAATTTCTCTAATCACAGCTAATCGTACTCAGTGGCTTAATGGGTTGTATTGAGAAATATCGAAGTACCTTGTTATTGATCAGATCAGATTGCCGTTCAGGGTTTTTATTCATTTTGATAGCAGCATCAATTTTTGTTAGCTTAAATTTTTGGCACAGATTATCCCACACATTACTTCCATTCAAATTTCCTTTCTGCTTTTGGTCTTATCGCCAGAGGCTTCCTATGTGTTGTAGAAAAATCTGGTGAAAATGCTGATTGCGTTGGTTGATTATATGGGAAGCGCTGTTGTTAGAAGATATCATAATTCGGTCTGAAATATTTACTGAGAATCTTAGATGTATAGTCTCAGCTTTATTCCATTTGAAGTTATACGCCCGCAACACATTTGTTCCCTTGGCACTTAACCATTAGTACTGATAGACACATATTTTATGGCATGTTCATTTCTTTGTTTGGTTTGTTCCCCCAGAACCTTCATGTTTGGTGTAGGCAACCAGATGGGCACTGGGGACTTGGAAAGATACAGTCAACTTCAAAAGAAGAAACTTTAGTTTTACTCACAAATGGAAATGTAAGTTTTTAGGTCTTCTATGTACTTAAAAATAGTGCATTTTTGAGTTTGCGAGTTGACAAATTTTTTCTACCATCGAGTTGTTACTTTAGGTTATGAAAGTGGCCAGATCAGAACTCCTACCAGCTAATCCAGACATTTTAAAAGGCGTTGACGATCTCATACAGCTGAGTTACCTGAATGAGCCATCTGTTCTTCACACTCTTCAGTTTAGATATTCTCAAGAAATGATTTATGTATGTGTGCAGCTTTGGCTTCTTCTTATTCTTTTTCTTTGTTTATCGTCCATATGTTCTCATATGCTCCTTGTGTTTTCTTAATGTAGAGTAAAGCAGGACCCATTTTAATAGCACTCAATCCCTTCAAAGATGTTCAGATTTGTGGAAATGATTTTTCCACAACTTATAGACAGAAATGTTTGAATGATCCACATGTTTATTCTGTGGCAAATGCAGCTTATAATGAGATGATGAGAGGTGAATGGAATTCTCCTTTCTGAGTCCTTTGTAATTTCTATTCCTGTACTTGTATGATGAATGTTATGTTTCTAAAGGATTTCTTTTGATTTTGTGTGTTGCAGATAAAGCAGATCAGTCCATCATCATAAGGTAAGATCCATACCAGTTTCTGTACATTGGCTACTCTCGAAATATGTTAGTATAATCAATAGTATTTAAGTGTCGTAGCAGGGATAAGATATGATTACTGGTGTAATTGTTAATTTTTGTTTCCAGTGGTCAGAGTGGATCTGGGAAAACAGAGACAGCAAAAATTGCTATGCAATATTTGGCTGCTCTGGGTGGTAGAAGCTGTGGTATAGAAAATAAAATCCTTCAGACGCATTTCATTCTAGAAGCTTTTGGGAATGCAAAAACATCAAGGCACAACAATTCTAGCAGATTTGTAAGTTCCTATGTTCCTTTTCATTATAATGGAACTTACCAGTGCTATTATTCTGTGAAATTTTTATAGCTTGAAAGATTTGTCAACCCATATGTCCATAAAATTTTTGCTATTTAATGTCTTTAATTTCTCTGAAGGCAAAGTGGTTTAATCAATGTATATTTTGGCTTGTTTGGAGCAGGGGAAGTTAACTGAAATTCATTTCACTGCAGCAGGGAAAGTATGTGGAGCTAAAATTCAAACCTGTAAGCATGTTGACGTTTCACTGCAAGGGTGCTATTTTTTTATACCCTTTTCTACTGAGCTTACTAACTTGATTACTCTTGTGGGTTTGTTTTTGCCATCTGCCAAATCACACATTATTACCAATAGTCATGTTACAAAAGGTAACTGAGACGTCCCTTTGAACTTAAAGGGTGGAACAATGTTACTTATCTGCTATTTGTCCTGATTTAATTGTCTCCTGTGAACAGTCGAGAGTTGTTCAGCTGACCAGTGGTGAGAGGTCATATCACATCTTTTATCAACTTTGTGCTGGATCTTTACCTGGCCTTAAAGGTACTTTCTTTGCAATTTGTCAACTTCTTTACAGGCACATAATATGTACATATTATCATGCCATGTCTCCTTCGCAGAGTAATTCTTTGATCAGCTTAAATGAATTTCATGAATACTTGATATTTCAACTCATGTTCTGGATTATTTTGATTTTCTGTGCAGAGAGGCTGAACCTTAGAGGGGCCAGCGAATATAAATATCTTAATCAGAGTGACTGTATGACAATAGATGGGGTTGATGATGCTAAAATGTTAAATAAACTGCTGGTATATTTCTGGAGGCTTCATTTTGTGATCAATTTCCTCTTCTCAAGTTTGCTGATGTCCTCCTAAGATATCTTCATCTAATTTTCCCCCTTTCTTTGTTTGCTTTTTCCTCAGAAAGCATTGGATGTTGTTCAAATTTGCAAAGAGGATCAAGAGCTAGTATTTAAAATCCTTGCTGCAATATTATGGCTTGGAAATGTATCATTTCAAATATCTGACAATGAAAATCATGTTGTAGTGGTGGATGATGAAGGTATGATTCAAAGCCTTGAATCATGCATTACTTATGCTGTGTCGTTTTGCACGTTGTTTTTTAATGGCAAAGAACATTGAATACTTTCTGGCCAAAAAATAAAAAATTTAGATACTTAAAAGCTAGGTGGGACTATCTTGATCAGATCTTTTCAATGTGATACACAATATCTGGTATTGTTTTGAGTAGGAGAGGATTTGAAATGACACATAATGACTGCCTGTGACTGACATAGTAACACATGAGAACAAATGACATCTCAGTTACAACTTATAAGTGACTTACATAAATATATTTCTTTTGGCAGCTGTCACCAGCGCAGCCATGCTGATGGGTTGCAGTTCCCAAGACTTGATGGTAACTTTATCTACTTGTAAGGTCCAAGCTGGCAAGGATACTAATGCTAAAAGCTTGACATTGAAGAAGGTCCGTACATTACATTTGTTCATCAATTTTCTGGAGCTCCTAAATGCACTACATTCAGTGTTTTTAATGGCCCAATAAAATTTCTTATTCAGGCAATTGAAACAAGAGATGCATTGGCACAATTCATGTATGCAAGCTTGTTTGGGTGGCTCATAGAACAAATTAACAAGTCACTAGGAGCTGGCAAACGGCATACTGGGAGATCCATAAATATTCTTGATATTTGTGGGTTTGAATCACTCAAGGTCTGCAATTTTATGATGTGATTACTGATGCATCAGTTGATGTTCGCTTATGTTCTAATGGGTTTATGTTTTGACTTTCAGAAAAACAGCTTTGAACAATTTTGTGTAAATTATGCTAGCGAGAGGCTTCAACAACATTTCATTTGGCATATGTTTAAACTTGAGCAGGAGGTTAGCATTTATAATGTTCAAATTTTCTTTGATATTGAGTGTCTGTTCAAATGAGATGCAATTTGTCCTTCCTTGCGTACATTTAAATGGTTTAAATGCTTATTTTATTGTGAGATGATAACAGATTTTTAAAGACTTCCATCAATAATTGCTAGTAGAAAACATATCTAATGAAAAATATGTTCCTAAACTAAGCTATGTCACTTTCTTAAGTGCAAATTCCTTCATCTTCAAGGGCGTCTTCCTGCCCCCTGCATATCTTAAGGGTTAGGATTATATTCATGGCTTATCTCATTTGCTTCACTTGTGGAATTTCAAGGAAGTTTCCTTTCTAACAGGTAAAGAGGTTCAACGGCTTTGCTGGAGTAAATCAATCAAATTTGACTATATATTATATGTTATCAATTCTAAATTTGTAATGATTAACGTTATTAACTGTTAGAGTTGTATGTCTCTTGTGGTATATTTGTATCTCTTATCAAGGACTTATTTGACATGTAGAGTTTCATAGTGCATGCCAAAATCGTGATGTCATTTGTTTTTTGAATAGTCTTGATGTTGCAATATATAATATTATTTTGTTTCAGAGCTACGAAATGGATGGTGTTCATTGGACTAAAGTAGATTTTGAGGACAATCAAGAGTGCTTGGATCTATTTGAGAAGGTACGTATGGTTCACTTTTTATATATGTTTATGTGCCATTCCCGTTTCAACTGGACGACGGCCTTTCCTTGTGGTTTTCTTATGGTTTTGGTTACATTAAGATCTGAACATGATGCATTTTTGTAGACTATTGCAAAAACATGCATGTTAAGATCCCCTTGCTGGTTGTTTACATTATTACCTGTAAATTGCGTTGTCATTATATAACTCATTATGATTTATGAACTTTGCAGAAGCCATCAGGGATACTTTGTTTGTTGGATGAGGAATCAAATTTGCCCAAGGCTACAGATCTCACTTTTGCCAGCAAACTTAAACAGCACCTGAATGCTAATCCTTGCTTTAAAGGGGAAAGAGGGAGAGCTTTTGGTGTTCGTCACTTTGCAGGAGAGGTTAGTTGCTGCTCAGTTTTCAAGGAGCTATGAAAGTTAGTTGCTAAAAATGTCAAGATTAATTGTATCTTTTAGAGTCTAGTATATTTAATTAACTTATTTTGGCTGAGAATAGTCCTAAATAGTAACAAAAACATTTATGTTGAGGACTGATATTACGCGTTTGAATAAACCTGCTCGAAAATGCATAAACAAGATGGTGGAAGCAGCAATACTACTGTTTGTTTATGACTCTGTTATGGTGAAACCTTAGCGGTCACAACCCCCCGTCACATGGATGCATTTGTTTCTTCTATGACCTATAATATAATTGGGTATCGAATAAAGTATATAATTTTCAAACGCCAACATGGTTTTTAAATCTTAAAAATTTCTTTTGTTTCTGTGTAAGACCTTTCCCCCCACCTTATAATAGAGAATATGAAGAGAATATTAAGGGAACTATTGTTATTAATAACTTGTAAGTTAAGGATAAGGATTAAAGATAAATATATGAGTTAATTATTTAATTGATTTTATTTTGAGTTACCCTTTTGCTATATATCTTTTATTTTTAAATCGAGTTATCTTATTGATAATTATTTGCTCTGCTTTATTATTTCTACTTTGTTTTGCATCAAGATTTAGGCCATAACTCCAACTTCTCCTTTTGCCATCCTACATTTGGAGATGGTTTCGATGCTTATCACATCATCACTTATGATGCGCATGAATCTGGATCATCTAGATTAGAATTGGATGGTCCATATTTAATATTATCTTTTTTTTTATTTTGGGTAACTTGTTATTTTAAAAGATGCAAAATCTAAAATAAAGATATTCTTTTAACTATCACTTTTTTAAAAAATAAATTTATCGTTTGAAAATTACAAATAAAAAATTTTAAATTTGGGCTGTCCAAATTTGACTTGGACATTCTAGATTTCATCACATTTATGAGTACCGAAAATGGACTACCTTAATGTCCTTTGAATTTTGCTAACAGCTTAGGTTTTGCATGCAGAATGCGGTTAATTTTGGATTTGTGCCTGTGATTTTTTTTTTTTTTTGGAATAAAACGTTTGTGATTTAACTAAAACATGGATGTCTATTAGGTTTTGTATGATACAAACGGCTTTCTACAGCAGAACAAAGATCTGCTGCCTTCTGATTACATGCAATTCCTGGCGTCATTTAGTTGTCAGCTGCTGCAGTTGTTCTCGAAAATGCTTAGTCAAACACAGGAACAGTTGAATTCCTTCCAACTAGGTGCGCTAGACTCGCAGAAGCAGAGTGTTGGTGCAAAGCTGAAGGTATTCTTGTACCATTCCTTGAAAGTTGATTTTATGCCTTGTTATTTGGGAAAAGATGATTGTTTGTTTCCTTGTCAAGGAAGATCATTACTTGATTATGTGTGATAGATGATCATGGACTAGGAAGTACTCTGAACTAATTTTGAATAATGCAGGGGACTGAAATGTATTAAGAAATGGTTGAAATGGTATATCTTAGGGGATATATATATATATATCTCTAATTAATTGCTTCCTTACTTTTAGGGCCAGTTGCTTGAATTAATGCACCAATTGGAGAATACCGCACCTCATTATATTCACTGCATAAGGCCAAATGCTAAGCAGCTTCCTGGCATATTTGATGAAGATCTTGTCATGCAACAGCTCCGTTGCTGTGGCGTCTTGGAGGTTGTTAGAATTTCAAGGATTGGATATCCTATCCAAATGACGCATCAAGAGTTTGCTGACAGGTAGTGGGAAAACCTCCTTTAAATTTATGATTTTGTTGAAAGTTTATTTGATTTATGTTTCTCCATGTATCTAGGTATGGGTTTCTGCTTTTGGAGCCCTGTGCATTTCAGGATCCACTAAGCATCTCAGTTGCTATACTTAAACAGTTTAATATCCCTCCCGAAATGTATCAGTTTGGCTACACCAAAGTGCATTTGCGAAAAGGGCAGGTATGTCCAGAGGCCAAGTAGTGCTTGAAGATATACTTTCTTTATCTTCATATTTTTGTGAACATGTTGGTTTATTGTCAGACCCCCAATCATTAGTTTCTTATCTGTTAGATATAAAGATTTGTTAATGTTTTGGACTTTTACTTTAGTAAAGGCATCATTCATGCTTGAAATTGCGAGTGTAGTTTACAGACAAAGGCAAAGAGGTCAGTGTTGGAGATATACACAGTCTTTCCGAAAAACCATAGCATAAAGAGCTAGAATATAGTTGATATGGCAATCAATATGGTGGACACAATATCAACTATTCATTTCCCTGCTACAATAAATAATAAGTATTCTATTTGTGAATTATGGATGAGTTTGCGAAGCAGAACATCATGTTATATTACTAGTTCAGATATCAATGGTTTCAATGTCTTGTATCTGCTTGGTTTTAGATCTTCCATGTATTGCTTTCTCAGATTTGGTGATTCTTGTGTTCTTTTTGTTGTAGATTGGTGCATTGGAGGATAGAAGAAAACAGATTATGCAGGGAATACTTCAGATTCAAAAATGGTTCCGTGGTCATCAAGCCCGTAGACATGTCCATGAACTTAAGAATGGAGTGACGGCATTGCAGTCATGTAATGCATCTCTACCTTTCAAGACTAATTGCATTTTCATCAGAGTACTCTGCCGATTCTTGCCCTTATGCGTGCAAAATTCAACTAAACACATGCTTCAATAAATGATTAATCATGTTTATATAGAAAGTAGCCTATGCACAGTCTGGTTTCTATATTTTTCCGATGAATTTTTTATCATTAAAGATCTTCTCGATATATATTTTGTTAAAAAAAAAAAATTATATGCCTAAATTGATGGTTCAAGTCCTTGTTCTTAGCAATTCTTAATTTTGTTTTTATTGTCAGCCTTCCTTATTGTTTATTCAGTGTTAATTGCTCACATTGCAGTTGCTCGTGGAGAAATTTTGAGGAGTAAATATGGTATAGTTGACAGGTCTTCTATAACTATTGATTGTAAAAATTTTGAGGAGATTGAGGCAATCATACTGCTACAAGCAGGTAAACATGGTTCTGGTTATTGTGAAATTTACGCTTTGGTGAAAGAAATTGCTAATGGGGTCTCATTATTCATTTCCTTTTCTTGCAGTAATTCGTGGTTGGCTGGCTAGGAGGAGGAATGCTAATGGTTTGCGTAAGGTGAAGAAACACCCTAGTGATGAAAAACTTCAGCGATATTCTCGTGGGAAGATGTTTGATATGAAGGTATTATGTAATTTTTTGATTTAGATAAATGCTCTAAACTCCGTTATTATTCATGTTTTAACTCTCAACTCCATTTTTTGGCTCTTGGTATGTTGTTTTATGCATTTAAATAGTAATTCCCTCTTTTTGATTCTCCTGTCTGACTAACAAAGTCTGTTATTTTGGATATTTCCAAATTTGAAGCCGTCTATTTTTCAGTTTTGTATCTTTTGATGTTACTAATATTAAGTACTACTACCAAGATAAGTGATTATGCTGAAGTTAAACCAAGATAATGAATTCCGTCCAGAATTTGTGGGCATGTCTTTTAAAAAGTTCTCACAGAATGATATTACTTTGCCATTGTAGCATGCTACTGTTCAAAGAAGTAAATCCCCAAAAAAATATGTAAAAAAAAAAAAGAAAGAAAGAAAGAAAGCAAAGAAAAAAGTTCTTTAGGTGTCAACTGTATTTTGTATTTTAAATTCAAATAAAACTACAATATCAAGAGTGTGTTCTGGGAAACTGCATATTTGAAATTCACCTGGGCCGGTGCTCATCTTATTTATTATGCTGCTGTTATAGATGGGGCCAATAACAAATTCTTACGTACCAGGTAGATATACAGACAGAAGAGTTCTCCCAAGTGTAGTAGGTAGCCATGATCATGAGTTCGTTGGGGAAAGTATGTCAAGAAATTTCATGCTTCAATTTTATTGATATATTATTAGAATACCACATATAGTTCAGATATACGTTCTTTTTTCTCTGCAAACTTAACTGAGAAATTAATAAGTCGCATGTGTGTGAGGCGAACCTTTTTTCCTTGGGGAGATTATCACAAGTTTTCTGTTGCTACAAGTTTCTGTCAACTGCAATATATCAAGAAACTCGTCTTCTATCTCTTAAAACTTCAACTTGGAGTGAATGCTGTCATCATTTTTCTTGTTTGCTTCTATCTCTTAAAACTTCAGCTTGGAGTGAATGCTGTCATCATTTTTCTTGTTTGCTATACTGCCTGCTGATGTTGGCCTTCTATCTGAAATGATACACACCCTCCTTTGCATGGAGGTATGATCTAAACTCAGTTGTGTGGAAACCCAAACAAAAAGAGCATATTGCAATTTCTTGGCTTACACGAGGATTTGTATAGAATTATTTTAAGTGGGTATGCTGTATCTTATCTCATTAGTCTGTGGAAGCTCCATCTGCTCAAGATGATAAAGGTTTTACTCTTTGTCTTTTCAGGAAGCGTCCAGAGAACAGGTTCAGAATTTGCCTTTGGCTTTGGAAGAACTCCGAAGGCGGGTACTCAAGGCTGAGGCAACCCTTGAGCATAAGGAAGAGGAAAATACTGCATTGAGGGAACAGCTGAAACAAAATGAAACAAAATGGATTGAATATGAGGCGAAGATGAAATCAATGGAGGAGACGTGGCAAAAACAGATGGCATCTTTGCAAGTAAGCCTCCGGATTGTAAACATCAATATTTAATGTGGTTCGATTTTCACACCAGACTTGCCTGCTGTGTTGTTGAAATGATAATCAGGTCAAACTTTTAAATAATTAGGTTATTTTAGCTTTACATTTGTCGTTGATAGTAGGAAAGGGAGAAAACAAAGTTATGCAGCACTTTTAAGTTCCTTAATTGGAAATGACCGGAAAAGGGTTCTCCAATTAAAATTAAAACATTAGAACTCTAGAATTTTTTAATGATAGCTTGAGAAATGTATGACTGTATGTTTTTTCTCAACTTAACTGTACATTAATCGTGTTTTACTTAGAAATGATACTTTTGTGATATTCTAATTGAGAAACTTGATAGCAAAAATATAAAGAAATGCATCTAAGTTCAATTCAATAAGAACAGTATTAAATCTGATATGACAACAACAAGCCTTGTCCTATTATGCAAGAAAACTTGCTAAATCTGTCGGGTGTGTCAGTTTTCTTTTCTACTATAAGTTTGTTGCACCTTGATTTCTAAATGCAATTTCATTGTAGGTGAGTCTCGCTGCAGCCAGAAAGAGCCTAGCCTCTGATAACAACATTGGTTATCCTGGAAGACAAGAAGCTACATCACCTCGTTACCATGATTTTGAAGATTTTGCTTCCACAATATCTCGAACACCAGGTGGGAGCACACCTATCAAGTTTTCCAGCTCTCTCTCCCTCTCTGATACCGGAGTGGCAGGAAGAGAAGTTAACGGTACGTTGTCTGCAGTCAGCAACCTGATGAGAGAATTCGAACAGAGACGACAGACTTTTGATTGCGATGCCAGGGCTCTGCTTGAGGCTAAGTCTGGGCAGTCTGCTATCATGAATCCGGATGAAGAACTTAGGAAACTTAGACACAAGTTTGAGGGATGGAAGAAAGAATACAAGTTTAGATTACGGGAGACAAAAGCAAGGCTTCATAAAGTAGGGAATACAGAAGGGGACAAGAGCCGTCGGAGATGGTGGGGGAAGTTAAGCTCAAGAGCCTCATAGTAATCAATGTTCAAACATTCACCTTGCTCGAAAAGCTCAAAGATAACTTGGTAAGAAAAAGGCAAATGGAATGTTTGTCACTAATGTTTATGAATTGTCTGCATCACTGTTGGAAACGTGTTTCTTCTGTATCTACCAATTTTGTTACTATTTACTACCTAGTGGAACCTGGAAGTATTGATAGGTTGTGCATAGTTATAGACTTTGGCAGGACTGCATAGGATTGTTCGACAGTCTAGTTAGCTCATGTTGTCATGTATATTCTGTTGTCACTGATTTCAGTTCTGAAGATATTAATAAGAAGCGTTGATATCTTCCTTCCAATCAATTCGTTCATATTCTCGTTATCGTGTGTGTATCTGCCGATAACTCAATATTCACGGAAGTAGTGAAATGGTGATTAACCTGAATGTTAGAACTTTGTAGAGCGCAGCTCCCTTTTGCAAATGTTGAGTGCTGATCCAAAATATCCCCTGCAAGTTCACAAAAAATGCGCATCCCTTTAATAAACTTATAAATTTGTGCCTTAATAGATTCTCCTTGCATTTTAGGAGAATTACATCTTTCCCCGTGTAAAAAGCAACTTAAACGTCAATTCCTAATAACTTCTTTTAAACTTGTTAAATTCTATACTAAAATTTATGACATTTTACTCAGAAAAAATTACGTATTTGAGGGGGAAAAATTAATCGATCATGTGGTAGCTGTGCCAGGGTGTGGTTGTCATAATCAATGACGTGTTGCTGATCTAAAAAGTAATTTACATGCGAATGAATTAGCTTTTTTTTAAAAAAAAAAATCTAGGCCAGACTCGATTCGTTCATTTAAGTTCAATGTTCAATCCTTTTTGTCCTGTTTTGCTCAACAAAAATATTCCTTTTTGTCCTAGTTACGCTAGTTGGTCGTATCGTATAAGGTAGGTAGTAGTTACTTTTTTTTTTTTTGTTTGGTCGCAGGTAGGTGGTAGTTACTGCTTGTCAGTCGTTACACATCATTAATTAATATTAACTTTGAGCTTATTTTCTTATGTTATATTACTTTTCTTCCAGGACTTCTCATTTCAGTTATTAAATCAAGTTAGACGTGCAAACGAATGCCGAAAGATAAACGTAACACACTACACTACTAATCTGAACTATGTCACGATCACGAAATAAACTACGCATCTTACAACAATACTAGCGTCCTTCCATTCATAACCCCACCCACACACACAAAAAAACACGGGTATACCAATTTTAAGAGCCAGGCACGAACTTGGTGGCATAGACCCAAGCATTATTAGCCACAGGGTTATCAAGGTGATCCAACAGATTCTCCAACGGTCCTTTTCCAGTAACAATGGCTTGAACAAAGAAGCCAAACATGGAGAACATGGCCAACCTTCCATTCTTGATTTCCTTGACCTTGAGCTCAGCGAAAGTGACGGGGTCGTCGGCGAGGCCGAGAGGGTCGAAGTACTGGCCTCCGGGGTAGAGGTCGTTGCCTTCTCCGACGCCCGGAAGGCCGTTGATACGGAAGCCTTCGACCAGGCCCATGAGGACCACTTGGAAGCCAAGGACGGCCAGGATGCTCTGGGCGTGAACCAGGTTGGGGTTGCCTAAGTAGTCAAGGCCTCCTTCTGAGAAAATCTGAGCTCCTGCTTTGAACCACACTGGCTCCTTGAAGTCCACTCGCAGCCATTTCTCTAGAACTTCTGGTGTGATGCACCCTAGTGCTCCAAGCATCGCCCATCGCCCATGAATCACCTTCATTCAAATTACTGTCAAACTTTGCTCATCATTCTCTCAAAAGTACATGAATATAGACAAACAGTAACATTCTCTAATCTTAAATCCTAAACGTAGGAGCTTACTGATGAATTTGGTTTGTTTCACCTTAATCTTTTTCTTAATCTGTAAGCCAGGTGAAAAAAAATCTCCAAATTAGGAGAGAGGGAGTAAGAGATAACATTTTTAATATTGACCCTTTTCATAGTTAAATCATAGCTTCGCGCCTATTTATAATACAGGGGATTGTGGTTGAGATAGAACAAGGAAGAGGCAGTGTGCATTGCAGCATCAAGCATTCAAAAAGAAGAAACCATGGTTACCTCAAGAGCTCTGTTCCTAGCAAATGCTTCAGGATCAGCAGATAAGCCTGCGGTGTCCCATCCATAATCTCCAGGGAATTCCCCAGTCAAGTATGAAGGGGTTTGAGCTGAAAAGGGACCCAAGTATTTCACTCGGTCCGGTCCATACCACAACTCATTTCCCTGCTTACAAAACACAAACCAGAACCTCAAATACTGATATATATTGCGTCATTTTCTGTAAGACCTGATGAAATTATATTACCATGGTGTATTTGCCATTTCCGAGAGGGACAACATCTCTGAGAGAGTTGGAGATGGATGATCTGGTTTGACCCAGAAAAGGGGAAGGTTTAAGAACAGTGCTAGAGCTTGCTGAGGCTGCCATGAACGTGGATGCCATGACGTGCAAGCTTTCTCTTCTGGAAGGCACCAAAGTTGAGACCTTGATGGCTGAAGCGGAAGATATTATAAGAATGGGTCGTGAAGAGAATCGGAGAGATTGGTGGTGAAGAAGAGGGGAGGGAGGGAGTTGTGGTGGGGACGGCGTTGTCTAGGCGACCAATGAGAAGGCTTGCAAGGATTTGAAGTATCTCTAGCTCCTATCTTTTTATCCCATTTTATCTCTGCAAAAATGCTAATGTGGGCCTTGGGCCGCCGAAAAACGAAAGAAAAGTATTGGAATTGCGGTGAGCGTGGATCGAACACGCGACCTTCAGATCTTCAGTCTGACGCTCTCCCAACTGAGCTATCCCCGCAATTTGCTGTACTAATAGTGTCCTAAGAAAAGGCTTCGACAATTTTCCCTAGCACTTATAATTCTTAAATTTTCAATGACACTGTAATTTATGCATTTAGAAGATATGCGAATCATTGTTGCGCACTATATTAATTTTCCTATTCTTCTCTCTCTTTTTGAATGAGAAGGATACACAAAATATATATATATATATATATAAACTATTAAACAATTCTATCATCAACCATCATATTTTTTTTAAAGCTGAAAAAATAAGCCAAGCTCACTAACAGACCCGTTTAAGCTCATGTAATTAGAGAGTTGAGCTTGCAGTTAGGACCCTTAAGGGGTAAATGGTTTCAAACAGGCTAGTTCATTTAAGCCCCAATCTCCTGTGTAATATATATTTTTTCATCATGTAGCCTGTCTTATGTGGACTTTACCTAGTTGAACAAAGGCAAAACTTCAAACTGTATATGTATTATGTAAGTTGGAGCCCATATTTTCTGAAGAAGGGAAGGGAAAAAAAGTTAACCTTAATTATTCATTTCAGTCACGTGATTTTTTTAGTCTTCTCCTTCACGACTTCACCCTTCAGATAATCAAATTTAAACTTAGCTCATAGTCATTGAGACACTGATTGTCTCACCCCCACTTGCCCACTCTAGTCTCTAGATCTATCTTCAACGACGACCAATGCTGCATCAATCACTCCTCATTGACGCTCAATTCAATGACCAACGCTCACTAGTCATTCCCCACCTTCACTTTGCTAGCTATGAGTCTCTGACATCGGTGTTGTTTGAAGCTATTGAGTCTACAAGTCTCCAAGTTTCATTCATTAGAGTTTTCATTCATCAAGTCTACAAGTCTCTAAGTTCATGAAGCCCTCTCCTTCGACCAAATCCAACTAAGTCTGCGATGTGCTCATACATATCAGATATTAATTTCCTTCAACTGAGTCTCCAAGCTCACTTGTACTCTTCAAAGATCGATCAAATTTGATTGAGTCTGCAAGGTGCTTGTATTCTTTAACCTTCATTCATCTATTATTGCTCATAGGCTTGAGCTTTTTTCTCTTAACATTTTGCATTTTGCTTGAGTGTTTGTGTTTTGCTTTGATTTGTGAGTAATTTGTTCTTATGACTTTGATGCACTGATGTAGTAAGCAGACAACATTAATATTTAAGTATTTATGTGTATTGATTTAAAGATTTTCATGCATCCGTGGTTCTTGGTGGTGGATACTAGATAGATTCAGTTGATCCTTGCTTCATTGCTTGCTATCATTTTGATTGGGATTGTATTTCTAACATCTAGTTCATTTATATGTTGTTTAATTTATTTGCTTATTGGTTCTTGTAATTTGAGCTTATTGTGTTTACTTTATTTGCTTATTGTTACTTAGTCTATGTGATTTGACATTGGAGTAAGGTTTGATATTACAATGGAATAAATGAACTATTTTCAATTAAAAAAAAAGTAAAAGGGCTTGAAGTTCGTAGGGTCTTAAACTTGTTATGCTTAGGGCTGGGCTTTAGATATGAGCCATTTAAAGAACACTCGAGTTTAAACGACTTGACTAAGTCGGGTTAGCCCCTTTTTTAACTCTACTTCTTATAAGAGTTGATCAATTTTATAAAAAATATCTAATATATGATGTGTAGAGCATTTGCAAACATCAATCCTTTTTCACGACTAAAATAAAAAATACATCCCTGTTCTACTCTTTCGTTTCTATTTTTTTAACTTTGTAAATAAATATTTTTAGATCTATGATTCCATCTTGAACTTGATAGATATTTTATTTTATGATATTATTACTAAATTTAATATTTTTGTTAAGAATTCTAACATGATAAAGTTGATATTGTTTATTTAATGGTTTAAGAGTTACAAATGGATCGTGGATTCAATCGATTCAAACCTTGTTGATCACCTTAAAAGATTTTTTGGGTCAATCTCAAAGTAAATAATAATAGAAGGGTAGACTTTAAAAAAAAAAATCAGCAAAATGTATTTTTGTCATACTACACGCAAACTTAGTTTTATTTTAACTTTCGCGTATTGGAAAGTAATTCGAAAACGTATTTTTTTTTTTTTGGGCCAAGATTTCAGAATGTTTTGATACTTTGAAAAACAGTGCCTTCAAATGGCCTTTAATCAATCTTTCCCTTACAAAGATAATAGTTTAATAAACAGATACAAGTAATGGTATATTAAATAATAAAAAATATAAGTACCTCATCAAGCCAAAGTCATGTAAAAATGATTACTTATAATTAAAGGAAAAACAAAAAATGACCTGAAAAAGTGGTGAAGAAAAATATATCTATGATTAGTATCTACAATTTCAATGTTCTGTCTTAACCCAACTCCAACGGTAAGCTGTCTCCGTTTCATTTTCCAGTAATAGCATTTCCACTTCGAATTAATTTAAATATAAAAACGCATTCAATCTTAACCATCCAAAAACGATACAGATCACAATATCCCCACATCCAACGGCTGATAAACTTTTCCACAAATTCCCTCCGCACCACAATGCTCAAGTGTCGTTTTGTTTCCTCGACAGTCGACACTGCGCCATGCTCCCTTCCGCAGAAGAGCAGGGAGTAAACCAAGTATAGTTTAGAGGATGTTGAGACTGTCTCTTGAGCTCTCACTGAAGCATTAAAATTTCTGAATCGGCAAGAAGATTCGAACCAGTTTCGAAGAATCGTTAGGTCATGGAAACTTCAAAGAAAGAAATAGTAATCAAGAGGGCGGATGATCACTGGGCTTTCCTGGTAATCCCTTGATCATTATAGTTTTTCTCAAGGATTTGGTTTACTTGTTTAATCCCTTGATTCGCCTGGATCTTTTTAGGATTAGTAGACATCTGAGATTTTGTCTTCGTTGATTGCCATTTTGTTATGCTACCATCTTGATATCATCTCTGTTCTTTACCTAACAGAAAATCGTTACGCCTTCATAATTTTAGTTCTCTTCTGACATGTTTAGTTTGGAACGATATCGCCATAGTTTGTATTTTGTTGTTTTTTTTTTTGGTTAATTGGAAGAGCTGATGAATTTGTTTGCTGTGCAATTTGATCATCATTTCGAGGTATCAATTTGGTTTTGCATTTATTGATTGAAACGCTAAATGGTTGGATTCTCCTCTTGTTGCCTAATTGTCTGTCCCTTGTTTTTCTGCTGCTAGCGCTAGGGAAATGCGTGAAAGGAAAAGCAAGTTGAAAATTGAATTTGGTTTCATCTTCTGTGGACCCTAGAAGATTCAGCTTGTTACGTCTTTTAGTTTCGTTCATTTTCCGGCAGATATGAAGTTATGTTGGATGCATGAGACTTATACAACATCCTTTAACCAAACCGTCTTCTATTAGCATTTCTACTTATTATTCGCACCGTATCGTCATATTCTTGTCTGATATTCCTGAATAGCTATTCTGTCTCACAATTCATGGCTGATTGTTGCTTTTTGGTGCTTGACATACAGGAACATATTGAGGCCCCAATGTGGGCGGATCTGACTTTAGAAGCAAAGTCTGGGGGTGAAGACATGTGAGTTTTCTACTTGTATAGATATAATAAGGAAGTGTTGCTTTTATTTACTAAGGTTGTCAAATTTCATTCATTCGATGCTAACCTGTTTTTATTTATGTTTTATTATATTGTAGAAATGATGACTGGTTCAGCGAAAGCCACCTGTAAATTTCCTTCTTCTTCCCCTTTTTTTCCACGTTTAGCATGGCACGCATTAGTTTATGAAACGTTGTTTGACTACAATATTGGTATCTGCTCATTTTCAGGTTCCACCAGTGGTCTTCACATCAGTTAAAATCTAAATTTTCTAAATCTGGTGAGGAGATAGTGGCATCAGAACTTGACTCACAAGGACCACCTTCGCCAGAGCATCCATCTTCAGTCTCGAGATCAAGAGGAAAACACTATAGGAGCATGAAGTGGGGGATTAATCTGGATGTTTTGTTTGACAAGCAGCTTCCAGCTATGGGTTTTAGCAGGAGATGCTTCCAGAAAGTCTCTGGCTTTGGTCCGGAAGTGAAATCCAAAGCCTATGAGATCAAGTCAAAAGGAACGTCAAGTGCAAAATTGGGATTGGTTTCTGAATGCAATGCAAGTAGGAAAACCTTATCGAATTGTACCAAGTCCATGGCTACTCGTAGGAGCCTAGTGAATAGGCCAGGTTCCATGGAAAATAAGACCGGTGGGAGTAATTCAAGAAGTACAGTTACATCTGAGTATACTCAGCGACAGGAGAACTTGACGGAGGTATCTAGTAAACCATATGGTCAGAAAAGCCAACTTTCTTTCAGGAATAGTACTAGCGTTAGGAAAAGCTGTGCTGTGGAAAAAGCATCAAGAGTGGATATTAATGGTGATAGCAAGAAATCAAGGGCACGTAAATCATCTCATGGAAAGTCTAGTGTTGGCTCATGTTCAAACACTGTTCCAGATGGGAAAGAGGTGGCCTTTCTGAATCCTGAATCTAGGAGCAGATACAAGCTTCCCAACATATCCAGGAAATCTACTGTTCATATTGAGGAACCGAAACTGCTTGACAGATTGGGAACTGCAGTTGAATTTGCGAAGCCAAGTTGCCATAAAGCTACAAAATCATTGGTGAGAACTGAAAAGCTGCACTGCCCTTCGCCATCCATATTTTAATAATGTTATTTCAAAGCAATTCTTTGCCTGAGCCGCTATAGCTGGCTCTTTGGTAGGTCAATTCTGATGCCTTCTTTTTGCAGCACAAACTACCAATAGCATGACCTAAATCTGC